ACCCATGATTGTGATTTGCATCTAATGCATATGATCATAATCATCTATCACACATCATGCTGGTCTTAATTCATCATTGTTCCCACAATGATAACTGACCAGGGAATTTAGAATCATCTGCAATGATTCAAGGATATTTACCGTAATATAACAAAAATGCTAATCATATAACGGGAAAAGTAATGAATCCTGTGTCCTTGGACACTGAGTCTTGCTAAGAGCCACGTCATGTCCCATTGGCAAGGCACCCCTCTTGGAGTCTTGCATCTTGAACCGATTCAAGACCTTGTCAATGTATGTACTCTGACTTAGACCAAGAAGCCTTCTCGATCTATCTCTATAGATCTTGATTCCTAGAATATAGGCGGCTTCTCCTAAGTCCTTCATCGAAAAGACCGATCCTAGCCAGGATTTTACTCCTTGCAAGGTAGGAATGTCATTTCCGATGAGCAATATATCATCCACATAAAGTACAAGGAAGACCATTGCGCTCCCACTGACCTTCTTGTAAACGCATGGCTCATCTTCGTTTTGCAGGAAGCCAAACGTTTTGACTGCCTCATTGATGAGGACATCGAAGCTAGCAACTTGGACGAGGACGGGAGCTTAACGGAAGGAGCTCTAGAAGATGTTCAAGACTTGACCCATCAGGCGTCAAGACTCTTGTCGAATGATCATAACGTCACAAGATCATTCGAACCCGCGGGAACGGGATTTGACATGCACAACGCGAAGGCTCCCCGAGCAAGCCATAGAACCGAGCCTCCTCTCACTCGTGTTAGAGCTCGAGCCCTCCTTATCACGTTAACAAAGGTCGTCACTCAAGTTCTTCACGGAGTCCGGGATCACGACGCGAACACCTCCCTTTTCGGCCAAGACTTAACCCGGAACGTCTCCTCCATCATGGCCGAAAGCTATTGGGCTCAAAGATGACTTCAAGCCAGCCCATGAGCTGACCATTTCAGCCCAAGAACAAATCAAGGCCCAGCCCATTAGTCCATTAAATTCCAACAGCTCTTTTCTTCCTAACCACTTTATTAAATGACAATTAGGCTCCTTCCCTTGCATGAAGACTTGCATTTATTGTTGTTTTCCTATAAAAACTACCTAGAACTCTTTTGTAATGAGATTTCATCCTTTTGATTAAAGTATTTTCGAATTGAGATTGAGCCAAGACTCTCTCCCTATCTTTGTTGGTTTGTCCGAAAAATAAGCACTGAGATGAAAACAAGGTATAGAAAAATAGCATAATTGTTTTTTATTATCTTCAGAAGTAGCACCCCCATTGTTCTTTTATTCTCAAGCATTAAAGAAGCTACTATTCGACCATCAAAATTATCAAAAGAGCTTGGGCATGACATCAGATGTTTGAAAACGAATTTTCTCTTCAAAGAGAAGTTTCCTCTCTCTCTCTCTCTCCACAGAGAATACCTTAATTTCCCCAACCAAGGATGGCTTACCTTATACAACCACTTTTTCATGCAAACTAAATAATTCACAAGACAATAACAAGGAGGAAAGACACAAAAACATGTAAGCTCAGAATGTGTATATGAACATTAGTTTCAATAGTGGAACTTCAGGACAACATAAATCGGAAAGCTGGCCATAAAACATTCTTCGAAATGTTAATAACGGCTAAAGAGGATATCAAATGTAAGTAGTTAGTTATATGTGAAGATATATAACAAGGCAAAAGTTTGACAAACCTTAACAACTGAAGTGGATATAACAAAGCAAATCGTGATGATATCCAAGCTCTCCTTAGCCACTTATGTTCCTTGAATTCTCAATTTCTCACACAGCAAGGCCAATATCTGCCTGAAATTCATTTCAAACACCAGTAAGGAAAATATAACCAAAAAGATGAAAAAAAAATGATAGATGGATTTTGAAGGTGCAAAATGAAAAAAAAAATCTTTCGCATAGGGTTTCATCTAACTCCTCAATTCCAAGTTACCGCGACGACATGGCCTCTTCTTTTAAGGGCATGAACAAGCAAAAGTTTGTCATTGGGCGATGATCTCCCCAAAACCTTCGCACGCACAAAGCAACCATGATAGTTTTCAAGTGTCCAACTAACAAAATTACGTTTGTAATGCTCGGGACAAAGAGCAATCCAGAAGCTATACCCTGGCTTGCTCCCTATGTTGTTTCTTGTAACAATATGGAAATGTACAGAATTATCATGACATTCAGTATTCGAATTTTTACATACTAAGAATTGGTAAGTAGCATTAGGTGATAAATACCGATATCTTATCGGCTATCTTTTCTTCTCGGAATCAGATAAGAATCGCAAAGCTTTTCCTTCAGTGAGATTAGGGTCAGTGGATCTCCATCTCCAATGCGATAGCTTTAGCAGTTTCGAGGTTATCTGAAAGTCAACAGTTAATTGCCATAAGATTTGCCCACCCAGAAGACAACAGAAACAAACAGGTTGATGGAAAAAACAGAAATATCAGACAAAACACGTGAATGTGTATAACCAAGTTGAGATACCCTAAAACCAAATTGTTAAAATCATACTTTGCATGGCATCTAGTTCAAAGTAAGAGAGGTTAAGGACAAACAATTTTGAAAGAAGAAAACTTAATTCGACAAAAAAACTATACTTTGCACTAACACATTCTATAAAAACAAAGCAATAATGCAATCTTTAATACTCTCCATATAAAAAACTGCGTGCAGAAATAAAGTATTTGTTAGCTTTTTTGAATATGAACTTGGACATCAGGTTGAAAACAGGATTCTTCGAAATGGCAATAGCTGCCTGATTGTCCACATTGATCTGAGTTGGAATCCTTGGATTGAAACCCAAATCACACAGAATTTTTCTGAGCCAGATTGCTTGGTTTGCTGCTGTAGTTGTGGCAATGAATTCCGCCTCTGCAGTTGACTGAGCCACCAACTCCTCCTTCTTAGAGCTCCACGAAAAACAGTTTGAACCAAGCATGAAACAGAAACCAGAGGTACTCTTCATGTCTTGAGTTGAACCAACACAATCACTATCAGCAAACCCAACCAAATCGGCTTCAAAATCCGACTTAAACAGAACACCATAATCAAGTGTTCCCTTCAAATATCTCAACACCCTTTTAGCTGCCACCAAATGACTCCTCCTTGGATTATTCAGAAACCTCGAAAGTACATTAACAGCAAACAACACATCTGGTCTAGATGTTGTTAGGTACATCAGACATCCAACCAAGCTTCGATAGTTCCTTTCATCAACCTCTTCTTTTGTTTCTTCAATCACTAACTTCTCCTTCATGTTCATGGGTGTTCTCACACTCTTACAGCCATCAAACTTGAACTTCTTCAATATTTCAGAGAGATACTTCCTTTGGCACAGAATAATCTCCCCTTTACTCTGATTTATCTCAATTCCCAGAAAGAAAGATACTTGACCAAGATCAGACATCTCAAACAAGCTCATCAGCTCCTTTTTCACTTTTTCAATCTCTTGAACACAAGAACCTGTAACTAACAGATCATCTACATAAAGTGAGATGACTATAGTAAAGAAGCTCACTCCTGGAGCATAAACACCACTACTGGTATTTTGAGCTACTCCTTCAACAAGTAATGAGCTGAGAGCCGGAGGCAACTGTGACTGTGAGTTGCATGTTGAGTGCGACATTAACAACAACTGCAACGATAATGATGAGAACAGCGACATTAACAGTGAGCTGAAATTGGATAAATCTTTAAATGTTTGTGTATACAGACATTAGTGTTGGAGAAGAGACCTTGACACACACTTGAATGATTTTGGACGTACACAAATGCTGGAGAAAGACACTTACCCACTCTTGGATAGACATTAGACGCACAAGGAAAGATTGCTCAGTTGTCAGCCTTGTCACCTAGCCTTACTATCATCTTACCATGAATAGAAGAGGGAATCAAGTGAAGAGATGCAAATCAAATTATATGAATTATTTTCATTGTAATGTAATAAGAAGAAGAGATGTAGCAATAAAAGTGTTTCGGTTCTTTTTATTTTTGTTCTTCCTTTCTAATTTAATTTTCGCATTTTATTTTTCAATAATTAGATTCAAAAGTGTAACTTCAGGACAACATAAATAGGAAAGCTGGTCATGAAACATTCTTCAAATAATGATGACGGCTAAAGAGGATATAGAACGTGAGTAGTTAGTTATAGTGAAGATATATAACAAAGTAAAAGTTTCCCGAACCTTAGCAACTGAAGAGGATATAACAAAGCAAAAGATGATGATATCCGAGCTTTCCTTGTCCACTTCTGTTCCTTGAATTCTCATCGCAAGGCCAATATCTGCCTGAAATTCATTTCAAGCACCAGTAAGAAAAATATAACCCAAAAGATGGAAAAATGATGAATACTGGATTTTGAAGGTAAATAAGTAATGAGCCAAGAGCTGGAGGAAACTGTGAGCTGCACGTTGAGTGCAGCATTAACAGCAGCTACAACGGCAATGATGAGAGTAGCGACATTAACAACGAGCTGAAACTGGATAAATCTCAGAATGTGTATATGAACATTAGTTTCAACAGTGTAACTTCAGGACAACATAAATCGGAAATCTGGCCATAAAACATTATTCAAAATGTTAATAACAGCTAAAGAGGATATCAAACGTAAGTAGTTAGTTATATGCGAAGAAATATATTAAGGCAAAAGTTTGACAAACCTAAACAACTGAAGTGGATATAACAAAGCAAAACGTGATGATTTCCAAGCTCTCCTTAGCCACTTATGTTCCTTGAATTCTCAATTTCTCACACAGCAGGGCCACTATCTGCCTGAAATTCATTTCAAACACCAATAAGGAAAATCTATCCAAAAAGATGAAAAAAAAA